GAGATCCAAGGGGAGAGGAGGTAGCAACACAACTCCACCTAATGGAGGCTGACGGCGCCCCAGATTCAAACGTCCTAAAACACATAATTGAAACCACAAAATATCTCCATACTGCTCGTCCGTAGTGATCCAAGTGTCCTGAAGCCCCGACATAAAAAGTTGTTTGGAAAAACACGTGAGCGCGGTGCACAGAGAGGCAGTTAGAGCTACAGGCTCAAGGAGTTCAAATGACATTTTTCCAAACAACTTTTTTATGTCGGGGCTTCAGGACACTTGGATCACTATGGACGAGCAGTATGGAGATATTTTGTGGTTTCAATTATGTGTTTTAGGACGTTTGAATCTGGGGCGCCGTCAGCCTCCATTAGGTGGAGTTGTGTTGCTACCTCCTCTCCCCTTGGATCTCCACAAGTGTTGTGAGGACTCTAAAACTTCACCTGAGCCTCCCTTGGCATATGAGAAGATAATGGCTGAATTTTCATTTTTGGGTGCATTATCCCTTTAATGTACATCCTATAAAGTAACAGTAGGCCTAATGCAGGTGAGTATTGTTGCCAGTATTCAAAACCATACTCTCATTTTCAGTTAACTCCACATACCTGAGCGGTGAAATATGTCCTGATCACCCTCTTGACCAACATCTATGCCACTTTTTGGACCCACATAGATGGCATAGTGCGTGAGAAAGGGCTTTTTTTCGCACCCTCTCGGAAACGCAATGATGTCTCCGAACTTGTACTGTGACCAGAAAAAAAGAGAGATGCATTTTATCAATTTTATCTGTAGCAGCAGTGAGTTTGGTTGTAACTCGGTGATGAGTAGGTGATTTATTCCTTATAGGCTGTAGCATGGTAGTGTAAGTAACAGCATCAAAGCCACTGACCCCATTGATCACATTTACTGTGATCACCAGCTGGAGGATCAGAGAGACCAAGATCAGGTTTTTCATTTTTCCAGCAGTGGAGAGCTGACGTGGAGGAAAGAGGAGAACAGTTCATCAACCTGGACATTTCGAAACACTGAATGACGAGCACACACACACACAACATACATATACATGGGCGCCTGATTATGTTGAGGAGCAAAACTGGAAAGACATAATTATGGGGGGTCTGGGTGTTATGAAGACCATGAAACTTTTGCTTTGCACTAGAAAACAGTTTTGATGTTTTCTTCTGCTGCTACTAACAGTCAGCCTGTTTTCATTCCAAAGTTGCATCACCTATCGTACAATATGTAGACCTGAGAGGCTGCTGACGACACTGTGATACGTGACTTGGGATGAAAACGTGCTCCAATAGCCTCCAGATATTACCAGTTAGAGAAAGGGTGAAAATAAAGCATGAAAGCATTTGCCTCGGGCCCCAGGCCTCCAGATCAGTAAATCCTCCCCTGATAATAATGACAGCACAGCAGAGCGGCTGATGGAGGGAAAGACGGGAAAGATGTGTTCTAGTATAATAAAAAATTCCATCCAGAGTCTGACTGAAACAAAGAAGTCTGTAAAAGTCTAGAGAAGTCTTTTTCCACCACTGAACACTTGACTGTTTGTTGATTCAGACACTCAGGTGCTGACATTGGACAGAAAGAGTCGTGACTTACCACTGATGTGTTTGGAAGATGAGAAGATGATGTTTGTACAGTAGAACTGAGCCACTTAGCACCCTGGAAGTACACACACACACACACACACACACACACACACGCACACACACACAACAGTAGATTCATTGCATTTTCACTTGAGCTGGAGGATTGAATGAAGAAGCGGAATGAGGACCTTTGACAGGACTCGGGGTGCCAGTCATATTCACAGTTGCTAATTATTAACCAAACCAGCATGTCAGTTTGGTTCAGTGTGTGCATTTCCCCACACCTGCCATTCTCCCCCTACCCACCACACAGTCTCAGACCTCCCCACCCTCTTCTTTTCCACATCCACCTGCTCCTGCTTTACATTCCCAAATCGTCCCCACCTGCTGCCTCTCATTATCCCACCAGCTCTCTCTGTTTGCCGGTTCATCCTGTCAGTTTTCCTGCCTGGTGTCTGCTCCCTGAGCTCTGGCCTGCTGCCTGTTAACGACCCGCCTGCTTTGCTCATCTGGATATCTTTGCCTGTTGGACTGCCTCCTCCTGCCTGACTACCAGCTCCATAGTTTGAACACTGATTTGGTAAAGTCCTTTTTTCTTTGACCTGTTCTGTCTCAGTTTGGATTCTGAACCTTTTTCCTCGTACACACACCTGTGACAGTATTAACTTTGTTTGCACGGAGGTCAATTTTCACTTTTCACCTTTAACTCGACAGATTCAGCCAGTCAGGGACTTCACACGAGACAAACGCAACCCAACACATAGAAACCTGCATTATAATGCAGTCTTGATCAACACCCTGCAGGTAGAATTCAGAGCAGCAAACACCTTCGAACATTCGATCTTAAACCTGTCAGACAAGAGTATTTGATCAGGAAGAAACCTTTGTAGAAGGAGTTTTAACAGAGGTCTTACCTTCTTCAGTGAGACGGTGGAAGCCTGTTGAAGCAGAGGAGGACATCTCCTTATATACACTAAGAACAGCTGATAATATCATGTCTTCAACCGTTATGGTCATGACTGTTCTCCAGACTCATTTGAGTCAGTTATCACATTTACATATACACTATGTGTGTTTGACAAAGAACACCTTTTTCTTTTAAAGCAACACCTTGTTTCACACTCACACATTTCTACATTCATATGATCCTGTGGAGGTGGCTTGCTTGGGGACACTTTGGCGTTAAGTCGTCTGAAAAATAATTAAAAAAAATAAACACAGACAGAGGTCAGTGACAGCACCTGTACTGTGTGATCAGCTGCACTGATATTTAAAATGAATGATTCCATCAGAGTAGAGACCACAGAGGTCTGACCTGCCACACGGCCTCTCTGTGTCCGAGCAGACATGCATCATGATTTACAAAAACTGGATCCTACTTTACTACATTCAAACACAAAGCTGGCATTTTCAAGTTACGTTCTGAGGGTGATATAATCGCTGCCATGATTATGTTTTAATGGAAACATTATTTCCAGCGGACAAAGTGCTGTGTTTTTGTCCTGCACAGAAGTCATGGAGAGGTTTTTTCTGCATGTGTTTAGGCAACAAAAGGAGGTTAGGAAAAGATCCTGCTTTTGGTTTAATGTTCATTGAGTAAACTTGTCTTGTCTCATGCTTCAAGTCACTGCTGACTATTTCAGGATTCCACAAACCGTGTTGTCGGTGCCAAAACACAACCCTAACAGAAAGGATGCATCATGCTTTAGCTGTTACGAGTGGATCGTGCAGGAAATGAAATGAAAAGAAAGAAATGAAAATGTTTGGCTTGTCAGCAGTATTAACATGTCTTCATAACATTAAGAAACAAATGTAGTCCAGGCAGTATGACATTTCTTTTCAAATGCATTAACTGTTGCAATTAGTGGCAAATAAACGTAGTGTGTTGGTGAACAACAGCAGCTTGATGTGGATGCAAGATCAGAGCAGAGACTCTGAGCTGTGACTTTTCACGCACACTCCAATAGAACAGTTGTAGTTGTCACCCTGATACTTCCAGCTGCCCCCTCAGTGACTGGGACCAGTGATGTTTGAGCCACAAGCTTGCTCCTCAAAGCAAAGAAGAACTTTGTGGTAAATACAGTGTTGTCCACTGAAAAGCAAAGGACACTTAAAGTGTATAAATATACTTGGTCTGTAATGGTGTCTGGGTGGGTGGAGTGTGTCAGCTAGCAAGAGAAAATACATGTTCTTACTATGAACAGATGTTTGTCATTCTCTAACAGGATCTCTTCAACAATCTTTTAAAATTAAATTCATAAAGTTCTCTTTAATGTTTGAGACTTGTTTGCAAATCTGTCTCACTCAGGAATGGGAAACAACTTCTGACCCCATAAAGGATGGGAGGTTTTCTGGATGAGGTGTAAAGGTCAGCTTAGAAAATAACTAATTTGTCCAACGTGTTGTATGTTGTATCAGCCACGAAACTCAAATGTGACATTGGCCTTCAGGAGGATCTGTCTATGACCAAAGTGTAACTGCCAGAGGTATGATAGACATTTTATTGACCTCTGTTTTAAATGCCTTTAATATGGAAATGATGAATAAAAACTGAAAAGACAAAAGCAGGCTTCTTTTTAGAGAACTGTTAAAAGATAAAAAGTGACTTTGTGTTAACTGCCCATTGATGCAGAGCTCATTATAATAAAACTGTTGTAAAGCCTTGTTCTTTGTCGAGCAGGAGCTGGATATCCAGCTGTTATTGAAGAGCTGACTTGAATACGTATATTGACACAGTGCTCAGATAAAGTTTAATGGGACCTTTGTTCTTTTTTTCTTATTCAAATTGTAACAGCATTGAACTGAGTCTGTTTTGACCAGCGAAGCTACTGGAAGCTGCTGCTGCTGTGGAAGATCTGAAAAGGAATGCAAAGTTTTCCTTCACATCTGTATCAAACAGTTTCTTTGGGATAATGGTGGCTCTGGTTCAGCAGTCCTTCACTAAGCTCACTCTTGATGGGATGTTAAGCCATGTTTAATGTGTGTTTAATGTGTGTTTTGAATCAACTACACTTTACAGCACTTCACAAAAACCCCACTGCCAACCAGTGTTTTAGAGATGTAACTGCAGTGACACAGACACACGACACAAGTATAAATGCTCTCAGCCATGTAGACCATGTGTGTAGGCTCTGCATAGAGCTGACACACAAGTATATCCTTAAGTCTAAATTTGTGATGCGCCATAGACAGTAAATAGGAAACTGATTTTGTGGGCACACCAAATGTTTGTTTTCTTTTTTTTTTTTAACCCAAATTAGCTTTATTCTGTTGCACTGTACTCAGATCAGAGACAGAAAATGTCCCCATATAGTCAGAACATTCCCCTGAGTGCTCTTTGTGTCATCTATCTTTCATCATTCATCACCACTCTTTACACAGAGATGACGCTACAGAGCCACTATGAAGTTTTAATTATCCATGTGCACAATGATGCACATGCACACACAGTATCTCTGCATTAACTCTGGTTTTGGCCACATTTCTGCTTCCTTATAAATGTTTTGCAAACCTGCAGAATTTGATATATTAGCTTTTTTTTCTTGATGTGGATCTCACAGATATCATGTAAGTATGAAGTTCAGTTTGCCTGGTTGATCTACAATTTTGACGTCAGCTACTGTAAATGTTGATGTGATTTACAACACCTCCTGTTAAATAATGGACATTTACTGTCCGGCAAAATAAGGCCAAATAAAAATCTAATACACAACACCAAATTTATGCAAAGTTGAAGTTTGTGCAATGACAAAACCAGTTACCAAGGAAAGTGTGACTGTTCACCCATCAGGAAGGCAGAATTTAACTTGCATCTCTTTTGTTTGTTTTTCCACAGACTGGTACAATAGTTGAACATCTTTTCTCCCTTGTGAATAAATCCAAGAATAAGGACAAAGGTACAGAAGTACTGAACAAAGTGAACAAAGCTGAGGATTCGGCCGGTGGATGTGCAACTCCTGGTGCCTAACAAGCATCTTGTTAACCAATACTGTCAGCCTGTCTTGCTCTCTTCTGTACTTTCCTCATGACATGAGGTCTTATTTGAAATAAAAATGAATGAGCAAGAAGTGCGAATCTTTTATTGTTGTGTTTATGTAAAGAATGACTGCCAGTGTATGGATGTATAAACACTGTACATGTACACTCTGACTCATTAGGCCACCTTATCTGCAGATTTACAAATGGAAGGAAAAATGCCAGAGGAACATTTAACAACCTTTCAGACGCTCCAGTTATCATGTGACACTTCAGAGCAGTTTGAGTCAAAGTGCACTGCAGCTAATGAGAAAATGTTTCTGTGGTTTTGACTGACAGGAGCACAAACATGACCACATGTGTGAAAAAGTCTGAAAATTGCAGAAGTAGTGGTAGTATGAGGAACTTAATCTATTTTAGTCTTGTTGTGCATGTTGATGAGAAACTGAGAGGTGTCACTAACAACTTCCATCTTGTGAGTCAATCTGCTGAAACGCTCTGATTGGCTGATGGGTGAAGGATGCATCCAGCATGCTGATCGTCAGTCTGCAGGTGTCCACGCTGAAGGCTGTAAAAGGAAAATGCAGAGTGTAGGCACACAGGCCCAGAACAAGACCACACTCATACAGACAAATCTAAAGACACATGTCCAACTTTATACGACATAAATGTCTGACAACAGAGACACAGGCTACAGGAACATCAGTGACGGCACAAAAAAACAAGGGTGAAAGAAAAGTTGACTAACTTCAACATACTGTTTTGTTTCACCCACCAGCTCTCTCCCCATGTCTCCTGTCCGTCTCAGCTGTCAGCTACAAAATAAAAAAACTTTGTCACACTGACGCTCAGCAGACGTACTGTGTATTGTCCTTTGTGTTCTCTTTCCTACTTAATTAAGTTTCCTGCCAAAAGCAAAATGACAGAAGTCTGAGTGCACTGGACAAAATAACAGAGACGTCATTTCAGTCAGGAGAGACAGATGAATGAAGCAAAGATAATGTTTAATAGAGATGTGGTGAGGGGCAATAAGTGGGAAAAGTAGGAGGAGGACCGACAATGCCACTTGGGGGAATTACACCCAAGGAAAAACTTTTTCAA